AAAAAAAAAAAAAAAAAACAATAATGCGAAGAAAACCAGATTAACCTGTTTAAGGGAGAGGGGGAGGAAAAAAAGAAAAAAAATAAACCAGACCAAAACGGAGGAGAGAGAAACAAAACAAACCAGGAACCTTCCTCCCTGCCTCCTCCCCTTCCCCAAGTTTCTCGGGGCTGTTTTTGTGCTGGGTGACCCCTGTGCCCGAGGGGGCCCGCAGGGAAAGTTTCTGGGGCGCCGAGCATCGCGGACAGCGCCGCTCGGCTCGCCCCTCTGCCGGCACTTCCAGCGCGGGCAGGGCAGCTGGCCAAGGCGGCGGGAGAGCTGGCGGACCCTCTCCGTGCCGGTGCTGAACTTCGCGGCTCGCCCCGCGGGATGCTGAGCTCCGCTCGCCCTTCAGCACCGGCGCTGGGGACAGCGCCCGCAGCCGGCCCGGCCCTCCCCGCGCCCTCCGGCCGCGCCGGCCGCTCCCCCGCTTTCCCTCTTTTTTGTTTGCTTTATTTATTTATTTATTTATTGAGTTGGGGTTTTTTTTGTCGTTGTTGCCGATTGTTTTTTCCCCTTTTGCTGTGTGTTTTGTTCTGCTGGAGTTGCGGTTAAAAGTTGCAGAAGTGGCTGCGTGCCTGCGGGCGGTGGTTGCACGCCACCCTTTCCCCCTTTTTTCCTTTTTATTGTAATGAGAATTGGTCAGCGCTCTCAGTTTGGTAGTGGAAGCTTCCATTTTGTGAGGAAGGGGTGTTGGTTCCTCCTAACATGGAGAAAAGTCTGCGGAGTTTGCCGGTGGGGGATGGGGCCCCATTCATGCTGAACATTACCATTTTGATTGCTTTGATGCCATTTTTGGAGGGGGGAGGGGAGAGAATACCCTACTCAGCAGAGCACAAAGATGTTTAATCACTGTATAGAATCAAATCAGATAGTTTCTTTTTTAAAGCGAATCTGACACTACATGATATGTAAGGGCTGTTAGTCCTTGTTTTGCAGTGTAAAACAGCAAATTGTTGACTGTAATACTACTATATTGGGTAGAACCCTGTTTTGTTTTTTTTCTTATAGCAAGGTAAAAGCCTTTCCTGCAACAATACAGGAAATCTTTATGTGCTTTTTCCCTAATATCAAAATAGTTTTACTGTTCTAAGTGGGCATTTGCAATATAGATTTGATCATTTCCCCCTGTATTGTAGCAACTATTTCAAGGCTGTTTAAATTTTTATGATCGTAGTAAATGAGAAGCTATTTATTATATGTCATGTTGGAATTTAGATAAGGCAGAGAGACACATTTGAAAATTCAGTTTGAACATTCTGGTTCAGCTTGGGGAAAATGGTTTTTGCTAAGCTTGCACAGCATATTTATGTATAATCCAAACTAACTAGTAAAAAATTCTTGTATATTTATGACTTACCATTCTCATAATCTTGTAAATAAATCTATAGACCACGAAGTAATTAAACATAAAATACCTAAATTCTGTAAACAGCAAATTTGGCCTAGCAGAAAACATCCTATTTTTAGGCAAAACTCTAGTTTTCTTTGACTATTTTCAACATCCTGTGCAACAAGAGCTCATAATTAAGAGCCTGGCTGGTGGTGTGGTGTCCTTGTGCTCCAGGCTGCCACCTCCAGAGGTCTACACTGAAATCTTTCTCAGGTCACAAGTGACATGAGTTTGGAGGTCTTAGCTTGTGATCAAGTCACAGACCCATCGAGTAACTTTGCAGACTTGCTATAATTAGTAGCTGCTCTTTAGGTACTGGCTTGTACATGAACTCTACGTCCTCGAGGGCAAGGAGAAGGAGCACTGAGAGCACAGATGGGCTAATCCTGGAGCTGCTTGGTGCTGTCATACCCTCACTTTCATGGAGACACCAGTGTAAATTTAAATAGGCCATTCAAGTAGGGGGGTTATTTTTACATATGTATTTACGTTCCTTCCTCCTTTATTCCTCCCCCCCCCCCCCCCAAGATTTGTTTAGGCACAACTAATTCATAATTCAATAATGTTTACCTTTGGTTTTGTGTACACCGAATGCAAAAGACCCTAAAATTGCATTTCAATTTAACTGCATATGTTAATGATGAAACAGTAAAACAAACAAACAAAAAAAACCCCATCTACACCTGTTAGGAACATAGCAGGAGTGAATGTTATCCCTCAGTGCCCCTGTTCATCACTTCTCATTGTAGATGGCTACAGTGGTATTTGTGGCAATGTGTGCTTTTATTTAAAGTTACAAATGACGACAAGAAAGAACTGAATGACAAACTTAACTTTTGAGGGAAGTTTATGAAGTAGGCTTTTATGTACAGCTGGATTTAAAATTGCATCCTAATTAAGGATCTCTGGTTAGTCATTGATATTTTTTTTAAGTTGGTGGGTTAGAGAAATATAGAATTTAGCATAGTTTTAATATTTTTCAGTGTCATCAAAAAAGTACTCTAGGTCCATAATTTTAATTCTGGAAGACAATACTTCAATAAGTTCTTAATTTGGCATCCAACTCAGAAAGACAGTTGAGGCTTCTGTCACAAGTACATCTCTCAGGCGCTGTAGTTTTGATCAATTGTCATCACATTTGAGAATGGGTTACCTCTTCTTTAATAAGATATGATGTGTGAAGACTCCATTACTTAGTCCAGTGGTTTTACACCTTCAATCTACAGCACATGCAGAGCAGCAGTAACATTTTTATCTAAATTGTCGAGCAACAAGCATTTATATGTAAATAAAAGAGCCATCATAAGAGCCAGCATTGGCTTTAATAGCATGCCAGAGGTGCTCTGCTGCTTGTGTTTCTTTATGTCCTTAAAGAGTTGTTAAGGGTCTTCTTAATTCTAGAAAGTTGTCTTTTATTAATTAATAGATCAGGATAAAAAAAAAAATCTTTAGCCTCCATTGGAAGTTCACTTTTCCTTGTTCCCCCTTACTGACATAAGTGTTAGGTGGCAAGCCAGGTCTTTAACAATGAACATGTGTGGGCCACTATATTTTTGACCATGATGAACTCTGAATTCAGACAGCCTGTCCTGTAGCACAGTAGTAGAAATATGCCTTCCTGAAAGACATTGTGCCATTCACTTGTATGCTGCCTCATTTCTTTACCATAATTTGCTATCTATGCAATAGATTTGCTATCTCTAGGAAATCGGTTTCAGGCAGACTTGCTCAGCCTGTGTTATTGCTGGTTTGAATTTTTTTTTGGGTAGTATACCTGAAATGAAATCACTGACTATATTTTTCCTGTGATGATCACCAGCAAAACCTGTTTGTGGAAAGTGTTAGACTTGTTAAAATTGAAGTACAGTTCTTGTGCAAGTTGTTGGAGATGGTTTAGCTCAAGATGTCTCATTGTGCTGATATTGTCTCTGTTTTGGGGAAGAGGGGGAAGTGGATTTTGGGTTTCTTGAAGTTCCTGCTGGGCTGCACCTGCAAATGGCAGCATTGTTTACATGAGTTAAAGAGTGAATTATTGATACTGCCAGAGCTCAGTATTTAATATGGCTGGATTATTTCAAAATTATTATGATAAAATAAGGGTTATAAGCTTCCGTGAAAACTCAGGTACGATCTGAAAGGCATTTGCAGATTGAGTTGAACCTGATGTCAAACTCTGACCCCAGGTATGCACAGCCCTCCCTATTGCTGTGGCAAGAATTACATCCATGTCTGGGTCTGGATGTCAGGGTGATGGGCTCCCAGGTAGAGTATTAAACTTTTCTATCACTGCACTAAGTCTAGAAACACAAAGACAACAGGTATTAAATACGAGCTTGACTTTGCCATTCTTCTGTATGATGAGGTCATGCTGACTTTGCTGGGAATCCTGAACAAATGTAGAATTAAATGAACTTATTGGATCAGAGTAAAGATTCTGGATTGTAATTTAGAGAGCTCCAGTTCCCAGAAAGTTCCAGTTCTCTTTTTTTTTTCTTTTTTTTGCAAAATCAGGTGGCAATGTATTGCCATCTAAAGAAAGAAGGAAAAAACTAGGGAAGGATTTACCTCCTGCTTCTTGGAGGAGAACCTTAGGACTATAGTTTGCATGATGACAATCCTAGCATCCTGTTTGTGCTTTCAGTAACAGCATACTGAGATTACCATGTCATATTGAGAAAAAGGGCAATAAAGGACATTTTCATGGAAGAATGGAAATATGGCTCTCAGCCTGCCATTAGGTTGCCCTTAAAAAGATTCATGGAATTCACACATCTGTAACAAAAATTTCTGCTAGAGGGGTTAGAACCCCATTTTGTTTGGTAGCTGCTGTTTCATTCCAGCATTTTTCTTTGACTGTACACTTTTCTCTACTTGTGCAGTGTATCACTTGGCAGGGCTAACTGTTGAAAAGAGAATGTTACATTCATTCTAACCATTTTAAAGAGTTCACTTTGATATTTTACCCACTTAAAACACCTGCTGTCAGAACAGTACAATTGATTTCAATTAACTTTGAATTTCTTCAAT